TTGCTGCTCTGCTCCATGCCTATCAAGTGGTTCAGCGGGGTGTGCATTGGAGATGACTTTTTAATACCCGCGTGTTGTGGAGTGACCCGATGACGTGTGGAAGGAGCTGCGCGCCTGGTGGTGAGGCTGACAAGGCACCGCGTTCTCCTCGCTCATCATGGGACTGATCGTATGGTCACAGCTGGGGCCTCTGAGCAGCTGCACAGTAAAAAAAATGATTCCAAACAGCACAAAATGGAGAAACTGGGCACAATCCAGCTACTCTTCAGAGCCGGTCTCTTCCCTCTCCAGTCTGACCTTCCTAGAGCAGTGTATTCAAAGTTTGGCCTTTTCCTCCTGCTGCCTAAAGGAGAATTATTCAGAAGCAGCAGCCCTGGCTGGGGCTAGAGGAAGCTCATGGCACAGCTCCGGGAGTCAGAGAGACGACAGTGGTTTTGCTTTGCAGCATCTGCTGGTTGTCTCCGAGAGCCATGCCAGCAGCCGGATGTTAGCAGGGTCTAGACATACCACCAGATGCCCTTCCTCCCATGACGTACCCCCTGCACTCACTGCCGGCACTTGAACGGACAAGAGAGCCGCTCCTCAGTCTCGATGCCATCCCATGGTTCCCCCTAAAGGTTCCCTAACCACTTTTCATCCCCAAAGCCACCCAAAGGAGCCAGAGTGAGTGCCTAGATTTGGCCTACTCTGGTAATAACTTTTCCCAGGGTCCTTCACAGTCCCAGACATAAGTAGAAGGAACAAGAATGAAAAATGCCGGAGGAGGAAATTTGTTACTGGGACCTCTCTGGAGGTGTGGATCAAAGTCTGGATGAAAGCTTGGACTGGTCTCCTTTTAGCTGACCTAGATGGCTCGAAGACATCCAGAGGCTGAAAAGCAGGGACCTTAGAGCCCAGATCCTGACCCTATCTGTGCCCGTGCAAAACTGTACGTGGAATGAAGTTGTCTGAAGTGTTAGTCAGACAGGGAGATGCCAAAAGGAGCCCACGGCCAGGTCCACCAAAGACATACAGCCAGGGTGAAGTCTAGACCAGCGGGTCTCATCCTTACCTGGCACACCCTTGCAGAGTGCAAAAACACCTCCCTCCCTCGAGACCGGACTGAGGCCTTGGCACAGATGCACGGGCAGAAACACTCCAGAAGTGCCTCTGGCTTCCCTGTCGGTCGGTGCGGGGAAGCGGTGTGAAGGTCTGGAGACAGCAGCCATCAGGGGCTGGCGAGAGAGGAGGCTCCCTATGAGGCAACGTCCCCAGTGGAGGGAGCTGGCTGTGCCCGGGGAGCTTGATCGCAGGAGATTGCTGTGGGAATTTGTACGAGGGATGGGCGGGAGGCTGAACTAGGGTACGGATTTGGTCAACTTTGTTTTCAAAGCGCATGATCCCTTTTTCTTTTTCATACCATTTGTTCTCCCTCGTAATGAACCCTCCTGTTTTTCTGTGACTTTACTGAAGTGCCTGTGGTAAATCATGATTTCTGGGCACATTAATAACCGGGCATACCCATTCAGCAGAGTGGGGGACTGATAAGCTCACAAAAAGCTACGGTGCATCTCTGGGGGCACCCCAACACCCGAGGGTTTGGTCACAGGCCTGCTGACATAAAACGCTTTATCCCAAGAGCTTATCTGTGTTTCCCCTCCCTGTGGTGTGCGGACGCATACCCACGCAGCATACTCCAACACAAGAAGAGAGAGGCTCAGGCTTGTACGAGCATGGCTGACGGAGCAGCAGGCCAGCCTCCCTTCAACAGATGGCCAGCTGGCTGCCAAGGCCAATACTTGTCTTGCTGCACCGACAGTGGAGCACGGCTGATCAGTGATAAATGCAAAGTATTTGCCAACAAATAGCTCCCATCTATGGTGTCTGCTTTCATGAGGTACCAAATCACAGCTGGAGCTGGCAGCACGTTTTATAGGTTTTACATGCTTTATGGTGTGCATCTTGGGCACTTGGGTACTTCTATGACCCCCTAGTACTTTACAATGTCTGAACACCTCACAGGCTTTAATGCACAACACCCCTGTGAAGCATCCTCTCCCATCACAGAGGCGGAAGTGAGGCTTAGAGAGTCCCCCTAAGGTCATCCAGGAAGCATATGGCAGAGCGAAGTTCCCCTAAGCCCAAACTGGTGCCGAATCACTGGACCATTCTTCCTTCCTGTAGTACGTGATTGCCTGCATTTCAAAGTCAGACATTACTGGTATTCAGACCTTAAGGTGATTAGACGGAAACCTTTCAATGCTGCCTTCTTTGTGATATGAGCAATACATGTGCCTTCGGACATCTGGCATCTCCCCATGGTGCAAAGTTTACCACCGTTCAGATGAGACCGCCTGAACACAGAAACTCCCCAGCAAGACACTCACCTGCAGGTCGATGCTGCCCTTGGAGTGAGTCGCTATCATTTTACCTGCACGTGACAGCAGAGATCTCTCTTGCACCCAGCCCACCAACGCGTGCCAGGCTCTGTGGATCTACAGACAAGCAGGCTGCAAGACTGTCCGATAAGCATGGTGGGTTTTCACATATCACAGTCTGTGTGGTCACCGTGGCAGTAAAGAAAACCAGGGTTACAGGCAATGTGATGCATCACAACCAGGACCAATCCAAAGCCCGTTAAAATCTCTGAGAGTCTTCCCCTAATATCAAGGTGGCTGGATCAGGTCTTTCTGTACCCAGATGCCCCTGTTTCACTGGCATGTGCACCTTGTATCTTTTATCTAGGGATGCAGATTAATTCAAGACGGACAAACCTCCTTTAGCTCCAGGTGATTATTAATAGTCTTAAAAAAACCTCCTAGGGACCATACAAAGTCTGACTCTACATTCAAACTGAAAACAAAGAGGAGATGAGCACTTTGAATAAAATCTCAACCATTGACATTTTTCATCGCACTTAATGGTATATCCAGGGTGAGCAGCACAACAATGGAAATTCAGCTTTTAATTACAAGGAACTTAAATAATTATGTTCCAGACACCAAGATATCCATCTGCAGGCTAGCTGAGAAAATGACCATATTTATGGAAGTGTGAACAGCAGGAGCATGCTGAAAGTACGTTTGATAATAGTCTTCCTCCATTTGCTCGGCTACCTTACTGAAATGTAGCCCCTATATATAACTGCCAGAGAAAAGCAGGTTTTGATCTAGTCTTCCTATCAAAATGGTCACCTAATGCGCGCTAGAGCCACATATGTTTCCAGCATGTTGTACAAGTTTTAGGAGGCATCCCTCATAAAATAAGAAATTATTACAAATGAAAACATGAAATACAAATTTAGTAGTAACTTGTGTCATTGGTTTTTTTCTAGTTCTTTTATGAGGAGCTTCTGTTAGCAGTACTGGGCCATACCCGGGCCTTTAAAGTTGACTGATTTTGAAGATCTAATCCAGAATAAAAAACAGAGCAGTGAGGCTGGATCTGAGCTACAGCATCTCTGCCACTTTATCAAATCTTGTCTAAATAATATTCTGAGGCAATTGCAAGAGCATTTTCAGTGTTACAAGGATGCCTGACACCACAAGGCCAATAGATACAGTACAACTCACATATGCAGTCTGCAGGAATACAGCGATTACTGTGCTAGCTCGGGTCAAGCAGGCCAGCATCTAGACTGGGACACCAGGGATTTTTGTGAAGAGCAGTGAGAAGGATCGGTCTGGTTATACTGCACTGAAGAAGCAAAGGTGAACCGTCCAGCCAGGGAGAGATCGTTATTAAAAAAAACAATCATTCTTCCATCTCTGTGAGAAAGTGTCAGTAATTTTTCTTTATGGGAACAGTTTTTCACACAGCCCTAAAGCCTAGAATTAGATACTGTACGCGTCTGGTTCTAATTTATTTTACTACTGAAAGCCATGGAGCAATCCAGAATAGCCGCTCGGTATTACTAAGGACATTTTTCAAGTGGTTCTTCAAGTAATGTTATACACCTATTGACTACATATAATCATAAAGTGCTTCACAGCTATAATATAAAAATTATACATGATTCAGAAAACTCAGCACCAAACATTAGATCTTTTTGGGGAGAGTCAATCCACAAAACTGTCTCCAAATACTTCAACAGCTGAAGAATTTTCCAGTCACCAGTGCTGGGTGTGTTTTTTTTGCTGCTTCTCAAGCAGTTTGGCCAAGAGCAAATACAATGTTGGCATCATATCTGATGCCTCTTCTACACTCTAGAGATCATATCCTGCCTATTCCCTGAAATAAGAGAACAAGGAGCAGAGACATAGGAAGGTACAATGCCCCACAAAGGTGCATTTAGCAGATCAGCCATATTAAATTTCCTAGTCAAAGGTATTCACCTCCATTCAGATCTCTGCTGGGGAATACAACGTAAGTGGAATAAAATCGACATTAGCCAATATCCCGTGCAACGAGATTGTGGCCCCTCTGAAACCAATGGCTTATGTCACTGATTAATGCTCTGAATTTTTGCACAAAGATATTTGGTGTCCCTGAAGCTGTTCAGCTAATCACGTGTGCAGTGCCCAAAAAATTGCTAAGTGTATAAACCGAACTATGGACTCAAGGCCCTGGGCTGTGGGCAGTACGAGAGAGGGCAGTATAACTAGCTCCAGGATCACAGTCCTTTGAAGTGGAACTGTGTGCAGCAGTTGGGGCACAAACAGTACAAATTAGAAACTCTTAAGCCCGTTCCTAGCTCACTCAGACTGACTGAGCAGCCCTACAATGATTAGAAATTAGCTGATGTTGATTAAATGCTTCCATGTGATTTGCTTAATCGTCTGTCTGTGCGACCCAGTGGCTGAAATGCCAGATGGATGCCGAAGTCCCCACCATTGCCAGCATCACAAAGGTGGAAGACCTCAAAAGAAACAGAAAACAGAAAAACCCAGTTTCCCCAATCCATTAGCTTGCCTGCTGCTAGAAACGATGAAGTTATCAGACTGAAAGTGAATTTGTTCTGAGTTATTTTAATCAATGCTTTTTTTTTTCCCAATAGTGACAAGTCACATTTGCTGCATTACCCCAGTCAGCTTTCCTTCTGGTTCTCAGGAGGGGCCTCAGATGTTTCTTTCATGTCTACCAACATCGTGTTCAACGTGTTAGCGAGTTCGTAATAGAGTCCTTGCAGCCTACAACGGGAAGGAGACAGCATAGCGTAAATACCCCGCTACCACACCGGTATGCCCAAAATGATGAAAGACGTGTATGCAGAACTCCAGCCTCCCCAAGCAATCTCACTGCTCATTTAACAAGACAAAGAGTGATGAACGTCAGCTATTTTGTATGAGACTGGGTCCCCCTTCTGTGCAGATTTTGCTTTAAGTCATTTGTAGTATTTTTCCCTAAAAAACAAAAATGACAAGGCTCAATGGACCGGCTCAACACGCTGTTCCACGTACAAACCACAGTGCTGGAACAGATCCATTCACCCAGCAACGTTCTTAGCACGTGACGTACCGGTGCCCGGGAAGACGAATAATAGGACAGGTCTAATGAAACCAGACCAGGTCCTTTGGGGAACTGCCCACAAACCAGTTTTCAAAACAATACTAGTAGGACAATGGTCACCGGATCCCCCCGCTTCTGCAGGGCTCCTCCGGTGGTACGTCGAATCTGAGTTGTTGGGTGCTTAGAAAGAGCATGAACCCTTTTGGGCGTCACTCTCACAGACCGGGTGAAAACATTGCAGGATTCCTGATCCAGAGTCCTTTAAACAGAGCAAAGACCAAGCCTGGATCAGATACCAGCTCTGCATTACGGTTAAGCAGACTTATGCAAAACTCAGCAGGCTCAGTTCCCTTGGGATTTGTGGGAGCGGGGTTTGCTTTGACATCAGGAAGGGTCACGTTCCCCTTGGACAGGGTTGTAAATGGCCACCATCAGGGATGCTGCTTGGGTTGAGCCACTGCTCCAGGCTACCGTGGCCATTTCTCATGCTGCTGAGTTCCAGATTTGTCCCCCAAAAAACCCCCAAACACCTCAAAGTGGCATTCACCTGAAGCTTGGCAGTTTTGCCTGATTTGGGGCTGAAAGAAATAGAACCACTCATAATTTTTTTCTCAAGAGTATAAATCCAAGAAGGCCTATAGACTCCAAATGGAGCCAGGATTTAGAGAACAACTGGGAAATATCCATTTAAGCAGAAGTTGTTATATGTTACTGGGGATGAGGGATGTCCCAGCAATTGGGCCCTGGTCTTGGACTGGGGAGAGCTGGGTGCAATGCCCTTCCCTACTTCAAACACCTGATGTGGCCTCACAAGTCATTTAGCCACTCAGCTAAACCAAGTCACTCCCTCCCCTATCTGTGAAATGGGGATAATAGCATTTCCTTACCTCACAGGGCTGGTGTGAGGATAAGTGCTACAGCCAGGTAGAGAATGGAAAGTCCATTTCAGGAAGATTTGATTTCATTCCAGTTTGGCAACAACACTTTGGAAATTTCCCATATTCGTGCAATGGAATAACTATTCTTCATCCAGCGATATGGGGAGCCTGGTTCTGGGACAGTTTGCCAGATAGCCTGGCTGTCCTGGGTCCAAAGCAATCCAGCTGCTTAGCATCCCAGAGCCAGAGACCCAGGAAGCTGTGAGCTTTGGCGACTGCAAAGCTGGGAGCCTGGAAGCCCAAGCTTCCCATCAGATTCCCTTTCTATAAACTAATACATAGCTGGAGTAAAATCCTGTATTGCTATGAGACGGCTCAACCCAACTGTAAGTTAGCATTTTCTGTTGAATTTCACAGGCTAGTTGATCTATCCCAGTGGTTCTCAATCTTTTTAGAATCAAGGCATCCCTCAGAAAGTGCCATCCCTTAGCTTTCAGTCATTTTTTGACTACAGAAAAATCACAGAGCAATGCTTCTGCTGCAAAGAATTCAGAAAGGCAGCACCAGAGTACAATGTCTGTGACACCATGGATTCCTATTCGAGATGTCTGGGTTTATCTTCTTAAATATATGTAGGTGTTTGCATACCTTACAGTGTTAATATTGTGTGGCACCCCCTGGCACTCTTGAGAGGACCCCATGACACCCCAGTTGAGAATCACTTGTCTATCCTGGATGAAAATATCCTTTCACCAAACTCGGTCTGAAATGTATATTTTGAACAAGATCTAACATTGAGCAAATGGCAATCAGATTTGTGTTTCAGTGAGAAGACTTCCAAATGTGCAGGGAACCTCAGAGTTCAGTGGGAAAGGAGAAGAAACACCGGAGCCCAACACCAATGCCCAGGCTCCTGGAGTGGTCAGGCTGTCCCAGTGTGCTGTCAAAAGACTAGGATGATTTACACAATACAAGGAAGGTTTGGCCCATTCTTCAAAAGTTTCAACAATCTGCTATTTGGGTTCTGTACATGTACTATGATATAAAAATGATAAGTTAGTTGATTGCTAAATAGATCAAGATCCTGTGGCATTAAGAGATGACAAACCAGGCGCCACCGCAGTCCACTTTTCTGGTGGATTTCTCTAGATTTTAGCATTACTTCAACTATGGTTTATCTTTCTCCTCTCCAATAGATGCCAGGTCCTGAATATTCCCATATTCCACTCTCTCCATCCCTTGGAGAATCCATATTACAATAGCTCTCCCAGGCCTGGAGGAGTAGTGTTGGACCTCAATACAACTAGAGGCTTCTACCACGGGAGGCTGCAGTTCCATGCAGTACACTCCTCCTTATGGTCATCCCTTTGGGGAGAACATGTGCATGTATTTGGCTCTACTGCTCTCTCCTGAGTGGGATGTCAGTCCTTGTCAGATCATTTCACAGTGTGATGGCTGGCTTAGAAAGAGCATGCAAGCCTCTGTGCTACTCACAGCTCAGAGAGATTCTCCCTTTAACCCATATAGTTTTGGAGTGTAAGCGTGCTGAATTCCACTTCTTGCACTCTTAACCAAAGGCCACAACACCTGAATATACGGCTGCTGCTGTGTTGCTACATGTCTGGACCCTAGCTCAAATCCCCAGCACAGCAAGCGCTGTGCTGGCCTCAGTCGGCTCTCTCTTGTAATAATCTACCACTCAAAAAATGAGCCTGTTTGCATGGGATGGAGAAGCACTCTCATCTAGGGACCTTTCAACCCAGAGAACAAGAAACCTTCAAATGTAAGGAAAGAGTCACTGTTTTCATTAAATGTGACACTTAGCGTTAGTTCCATACCAGGAACTTCCAAAATCAATGGACATTAATGCTGACCTATCACAGCTTCTCTGTGCTTTAGCCTATAAACCAACTTGCATCAGATCAAGTGCCTTTAATTGTATTCTTGCAGCCCATATTTTGAGACCTGCAGGGTAGAGCTGACAGGTTGCAGGTTCCCCCAAGGGCTGTCCATCCTTTATATCAAAGAAACAAAACCACCACACTAAGGTACAGTTTGAAGATTTCTACCATTGCAGTCTCTATGTCTGTTTATCACACTTGGGCTACTCACCTATATATTGTATCATCCTGAAGATCCAGGGATGTCAAATACAGATCAATAAATGCGATACTGGCACAAAAATCTTCTATGACCACAGTATCAGAATGCTGTAACGTCTTTTTAAAGTTGTCCACCAATTCACTGAAAGCTTTATACTCGCTGGTTTTCTAGCGTGAAGAGAGATCCCAGGAGAAAACATTGTTAGCGTGGAATAGGTTTTAAGTAGTAACTTTCATTCTTCAGCTATCTCAAAGAGCTTTGTAAAAGATGATGGTTGTGCAGGGACTATGGAGACAGCTGGAACATTCATTAGGCCTCAGCAATAACTCGCATACAGCCTCCCTCCCTGGTCTCCAGTTTTGCAGACCCATCTTTGCACACCCACACAGCCAATTGCTGTGGCAACTGTAAGTTATTTTGCGTGGTTTGGAGGAATGCATGGTTCTGGGAGCACTAACAGAGGGCAAAACTAGAGGAGGACCTGGAAACTTTTGCTTTATAAACCGTAAAAGAGAATGCTGGCCAGAATGGTAAAGTGGCACTTCATTCAGAAACATCATAGGATATTTAATTAGGATTTGAACGACCACCAGATTCAGACACAAAAGGGACTCCATTCAGGGCTCTTCCTAAAAGACAGCGCCCATAATTGCATAGATATCATCCCTACTAGTAACGGCAGTGGACACTAAATTGTAAGTCAGCACCAAAAACAGTACTTCAATCAACAACTTCCTGGCTCAAAGGCAAGAGCACTTCAAACTGAGCCACACAGACCTAATTACTTTTAAATCACAGTTGATAAAAGAGTAAGCAGAAGGGATGAAAGAGAAAGGAGGAGCATTATTCCAAACCTTCAGAGAGTGTTGATCAAGGTCTTCAAAGAGACCTTGACAAATTGGAGGATTGGACCAAAAGAAAACTCAGGAGGTTCAGTAAGGTCAAGTGCAAAGTCCTGCACTTAGGACAGAAGAATCCCATGCACCAGTACAGGCTAGGGACTGACTGGCTGGGCAGCAGCTCTGCAGAAAAGGACCTGAGGGTTACAGTGGACAATACGTTGAGTATGAGCCAGCAGTTGAGAAGAAAGTTAACAGCATACTGGGCTGCTTTAGTAAGAGGGTTGCTAGCAGATTGAGGGAAGTGATTGTTCTCCTCTATTCAGCACTGGTGCGGCCACATCTGGAGTACTATGTCCAGTTTTGGGTCTCCCACTACAGAAAGGATGTGGACAACTTGGGGAGAGTCCAGTACAAGGCAACAAAAATGGTTCAGGGGCTGGGGCACATGACTTATTAGGAGAGGCTGAGGGAAATGGGCTTATTTAGTCTGCGGAGGGGTTTAATAGCAGCCTTAACTGCAAAGTGGTTATAAGCAGGATGGAGGTAGAGTGTTCTCAGTGGTGGCAGATGACAGAACAAGAAGCAACAGTTTCAAGTTGCAGCAAAGGAGGTTTAGGTTAGGTATTAGGGAAAAAAAGTCCCATGACAAGGGTAGTAAAGCACTGGAACAGGTCACCCAGAGAGGTGGTAGAAGCTCCATCCTTGGAGGTTTTTAAGACCCAGGTAGACAAAGCGTTGGCTGGGATGATGTAGTTGGGGCTGGTCCTGCTTTGAGCAGGGGGTTGGACTAGATGTGACCTCCTGAGACCCCTTCCTACTCTCATTTTCTATGATTCTATGAAACATTTATATTTAAGTGGTATTGACTGCACTACATTTCAAATGAGCTTCATAGGAGTCCATTATGAAAATCTGTCAGGTTAAAAAAACTCTAAATCCATGAAATAGAATTCAAGTCTATCACATCATCGTTAGATATTGCTCAGAGACTGAATATTCAATTTGGAAAAGGGCAGCAATCTGCTTAAGGAACTGGAAGAAAGCAGATCTCAAGTCAGTCATTTTTGGAAGGTGCCCCTGACTACTTTAATAGATTTTGAAATACTTCCCATGGAAGTTAACAGCAAATTCAAAGACATATATGGTTACTGCAGAATATATGTGCTGCACTGAGATGCCTCCATAATACAATGCTGAGTTACATTTAAGAATACAGGAATGCAGACTTTTTACAAAAAACAAAAAAGAGAAATAGAAATCTTTTAGGGAAAGTGTTGCTATTATTCAGAATGTGTCCACTTTTAAACTGTTGTTTGAAATAGGAGATTCAAACTGGAATATGCATCATAAACATGCACATGCAGACATCATTAATTAGAATCATTCCTATATATAAAATGAAAGAATAGCTCTAATTAAGCAGTGGTCCCCAACAAGAATAGACAACAATACCGAGTAAATAACTCCCTGCCAGCAACATCATCCGTTACACTCCTTGTCAACTTCCACTTTAACGTATTAATTTCCGATGGCCACAGGCAACTTTAGAAGGTCTCCAAGGCAACCTGGGGACCTCTGCTATAAGCAATGACGATAAGGAACCTTAGCTTGGATTACTTCAACAGGGGAAAAAGCTTGAGATTAGTCTGTATAATTAAAAGAAACATAGCATGCTATGATGCAAGTGATTGCAAAGGAAACTACACCTTACATATGTTCGAAATACTCATGATAACAGGCAAGCTTCTAGAAATGGCATTCTGTGCATCTACCTGCTGGTGCATTAACTTGCTCACTTCTTCTTGTTGTCTCTTTAATATGGCTTGTTTTTTGGCCTGAAGAGCAGCCTGTGTTTCTGCTTTACGCTCCCACTTGTAATTTTGAGTCGAGTCCTATAAAATGAAGGCCAAATGGTTTAAGGGCAGAGGAACACAATGGCACAACTCAAGAGTTTAGTCCAAGACACTTTGTCCTCTATGTCCATTTAAATCCAGCCCATACTGGTAGCAACAAAGCTGTTACTTGTGATGAGTTGGACAGACAGAGCCCAGTAAGATTTTCACCCCAGAGATGGGGCCTTTATTAGCAGTCCCACCAGGGAGGCTGTAGGAATAACACACTGGCGCAATGATGTCTAGCTTAGTATCCTGTCTCCAGCAGTGACTCTGTAACAGATAGTCCCGAAGCATCTCAAAGCCCCGCCGTGGGCTGGCCCAGATTCAGTTTACACTGCTACATACAGCTATGACCCAAACCTGCCAACCATCCACACTAAAAGTCCCTTACCTGTCCCCAGAAGCTCTCTTCAGTATCACAGCCCAAGGCTGCCCTTCCTCCTAGCATCCCGCTATGTGCAGCGAGTGTTCACAACTCACCTGCTTGCTGTAGGTCATAAACCCGGGAGTCAGCCAGCACATAACATTTGGCCTTCCTGTCCCCCACTTCTGGTCTCTACTTCTCATAGAGGCAAGTAGTAGGCAGACTGATTCCTTGGAAGGACTCTGCTTGATGAACAACAACTATGAACTATGAAACTATGAAACTTTGCTCTGTGTCTGGCATTCAGCTGCCGTAAGGTAAAGCATGGATGGGATGGATGGCCAAGCCTGGTTCAGAATAGGGTGACCCTTGTGGACATCCCAAATAGCAGTGCAGACCCCACTTGAGGGGCCGCATTGTAAAATGTAACACGTAAGTCTTCAGGCAAACCTGCTTTACTCTTCGAAATGGCAGGGGCTGGCAGCTGATTGTACCGAACAGGAGAGTCGTAACAGCTGGGGGAAGGCAGAGACCTTCTGGATGGCTCTGTCTACCCACGTGTGACAGACCAGGGCCAGAAGTGAAGGGTATTGCATACATGGACAGGACAACTTCCTCACTTTTCCCCTTCTAGGTTTGCTCCCTTCAGCTTTGAGGAAACTTAGCAGGGCTGTGAGGAACATAAACCATTTACATTCAGCAGCCAAAGGGCTTCAGTCTCTAGTAAACGATCATATTTTCCAGGGTATAAGACATGTTTTCTTCCTCCTGAAAAAGGAGATCTATAATGAAGGTGCATACCAAAATACTGGAAATCACTGCACAGAAACACAATCAAATTGATGTTAACAGTCTGGGACACCCCTCCCCTCAACAACTCGACCCTTTTTTTTTTTTTCCTTTTTGAGGGTTCTTCTTATGCACCCAAAAATACAGTAAGGATCCAATATCTATAAAGTCACTTTGGGCAAGCAACTAAAGGCGAGTTTTCAGGTTAAAGGGCCTGCAGCGAGAGGTTTGTTTTAAAGAAAGTAAGAAACCTCCAGCTTACCTGGATATTGATAATGACAACACCAATAAACATATTGAAAAACACAAAGAAGCCCAGCAAGATGAAGACTATGGTGAACGCTCGGCTGGCAGTAAAACCGTGATCCTCCAAGCTGCTCTGCAAGTCCGTCCAGCCGTCGACCTGCAAATGTATTTAAGCAGATCAAACAGTGAGTTCCAAACCACAGTATTACTCAGAGACTGCAGTAAATCCCTTTCTCTTTTTTTTAACTGAACAGTTTCCTCAGTTGCCTGCAGTTCCCGGCTTAAATCCTCTGCTAAGGAGCCCATTGCTCAGGAGATTTTTCCCCTCTGAATTTTCAATGCCAGGAAAAAAAAAAAAAACCCCATCAAACTGAATTTTCTCAACTCTCTAAAATTAAATAAAACCAGAGAGCAGCTTGCATGGTCTCTAATGCTGGGAATAATCACAGTTTAATTAACTGGCTTCCTAACTGCCCCCTCTCAAAATCAGGAGCAATGGCTACGATGTTACAGGGGGGCAGAGAAGAGGAAGCCCTGCAGAAATTACCGTGACTAAACTGAAGAGCGTGAAAAGTGCAGATGCGAGGTTGCCCCAATTTCCTCTGTCTCCAGTGTCAGGGTCTCCATACAAACCGTGGCCCAAAATGGCAAAGATAAACATTAGCAGGAACAGCAGAATAAGGACATAGATCACAGTCTTCATAGTCTGGCCTAGAGCTGTCATCAAATTCTGCAAGACAGAAAAACAAGTGTGCGCAGTTTAGACTGGAGATAAGCAGCCCCAAGTAAAAGAAAATACTCGCTGGAATTCAAGCCGCGGCAGGCAACGGGGTGGCTGGGTCAGCAGGGGGCTCTGTACTCGGGGATGGCCCTGGCTCTGCCAACTGGAAGATGGTAAGCCCAGATCGTGCAGGGCCACTCAAGATAATGGCAAGTGCAGATCTTCCTCTCAGCTGACAAGACGGTCCTCTCTCCCTGTCAGCAGTTGGGAAGCTTTGTCTAGTGATAAGAGTACAGGGCTACAACTCCAGGGTTATCCGTTCTGCTCCCCACTCAACACTGACTGCGTAACAGACTCTGCTTCATTTTCCCCACTACGCATGAAAACAAGGCATTCGAGATCTGTATTTATCCAAGTTTAAAAGTGGCCCTGGGATGCGAAGAACTAGAGGAGGGAAGAGCATCATTCACGATTATCTCAAGACTCTGGATGCTATTGCATCAATATGACATGACTCTTCTTCCTAAGCTGAAACTGGTCTTCTAGCTGATGGCAATACATCTCAAAATGCATTGACTGTCAGCCTTAACATTGCCATTGTTAATCAAGAGGGCTTATCCTGTGAGACAGGATAGATCTGTGAACAGTTGGAAAGATGAGAAGTTAAGGAGCTGTGGCTTTGTAAAACCACCAAGTCCACTCCATCCGTTTAAAAGGAGCACCTTTAAAATAGGTCATTATTATTCACATCCATTTTAATTACCTTGGGAGCTCACAGCTGCAGGATATGGAGCAAGGGATTCCGCTCATAAAGGATAAAGTGCTTCAGAAGATGACCTTTTGTATTAAATTAGCTGGATACAAATTACACAAGCTATCAATCCTTGTGTTTCAATTGCAGAGTCTAATCATGAGCTGGAGTCAGGAAGAAATTTCTACCCCCATCACTGTTGGACGGTTGTCTAGACACATCCAATATTGTTTAATAAGAGACAGGATGTGGGATGAGGCATTGTCTTTCTTTTCCACCAAGGTAACTCTGCATTGCATACTGAGAAAAAGCACCATAAAGCATGGGTTCACTAGGAAGGAACTCAAGCCAACCTCAGAGACCAAATGAATCCTTCCAGAGTCCGAAATACAGCATCAGTACATAAGACACCCTTAGGACTTGATGGGAGTACTGGTTTGGGAATAGAGCTTAAGTCGGACCATTGGTAATGGATCTCCGCCAAATTGCAAACATTTCTATTAACTCCAAATTATAGAAGACTGCATACAGCCTTTGCATCAATGTTATATTACTCCAGGGACTGGCTAAAGAATGGGCTGGCTGCCTTCTCCTGATTACAATAAGTGCGCTAATGCCAGAGGGTCTCTTATGCAGCACACCAGTTCAGGGACTATCCATGTATCATTTCCCCTTTGGATAAGGTCTCCAACTGTCGACAGCATCTCAAGTTCAAGCTCCAGAAACCACCCAGTTGATCTGTTCCGATGGCGCTTCCTGGTTAAGAGGCTTGTGCAGAGCTTACATAAGACACTTTCCAATCTCTCCTGCTTGCCAAGAAGTTGATCTTGTTATGGTGGATTAAAGATTCCCCCGGCAATCACGTGAATACTGTAGTTCCCTGCTTTCTAAACTCTCGTCTACTCTAGGAAACACACCCACGTCAGGAACCTTGGCCAATTTCTCCAGGTGTTCCCATGAGCCGCTAAGCCTCATCTCCATCTTATCTGGATTGAGTTGTAGGCAGCAAGCCTCCATCGAGGTCAGATGCTGGAGTTTCTACTACCTTCCTCATCCCACAATAGGGCAGTGTCCACACTCGCCATTTTACCCTAATATTTCCAACTGTGGCAGCTCTGCAGACCCTGCCCATGCAAACACTGGGCTTCTTCCCTTGCATGTCTGTGACTCATTGCTCTCTACTGGGTGAAGCATCCGCCCTCTTAAATGCATCTGATCGCATAACATCCAGGTGCGACTACCTAGAAGCTGTGAGCCCTTCACTACAAGCATGAAAGCTTCATAGAGCTGATGATAACAAAAATAAATGACATTTCAGAGACCGGTACAGTGCTTTTAAAGCAACCACACCAGTGACCTTCACCTTTGGACTATGCAATCTTATCAACCACCTTTTATTCTGCAGACCATGCCTAGGACTGGACATGGAGAACAAAAGCCATTTATACAAAAACCACGTGACATTTTTGCCAAGTTATGTAATGGTCCTCAGCAAATGTGGGTCATGCACATGCTCATAAAGGCAAACAACCACCCAGAGCTGAAGGCAACAGGAGAGCTATAAAATGCTCAGAGTCACTGCAGCCCAGCAAGTGCCCTTTGTATAGTAGCATCAAATCATTTTGAGTTTCCACGGCACATCTTGACATTCCTGTACACTTTCAGAAAGCTAGAGCAGGTCCTATGTGCTTCTATTAAGAAGGAGCTTTGTGGCTTATGGTCTTCATAGGCTGTAAACTATGTCAAAATTAATCCCAAATACATTTTAAAAAAAAGCAGACAAGTTGATTTTTAGAACAACCTGGCATTTTTAACGTTTATTTTCAAATTGAAATAAAGATGAATGGAGCCTACACTAAAGCTAAGATCCCAGCTAACAGAACTTCTCTGTATGGAATACAACAAGGAAATTATTTCCTCAAGGTGGAAATTTATTGCACCAAGGTGGAAGGCAAGAGTGTTTTAAAGAGTTTTTTAATTAATAAAGGGAAGTGTGCCAAGAATGTGTTGCATGCTTGAGCTTTCAGTGTTAAATACAGCTAACCTGTTAAGGGCTAATTGAGACTTCAATTAATAAATTATAATACATGTCCAGGTATAAACAAACCCCTGCACCTTTAGTGAAGCTCCACTGGGCAGCTTGCAGCAAGGTGAGTTTTATCAAAGAGTTGCTTTTGCTACGCACACGAGACCGGCAGAGCTGGCTCATAGCGACTGTCCACTGAAACTCATGTTCTGTCCCCACTATGGCTGGTACCAAGTGCTTCAGGGGAGGATGAAAGAAAAATCCCAAAAGATGACTGCAGGCTAATCGCTTCATGTAAGACATTTCTGACTGCTTTCGAATAGGACTGGTCAATCTATGCTCAGAAACATGAGAATGTATAGCCTTCATCTATCTCCAGCCTATCCGATATAACTCTGGATCCTAATATCCAAAACTAACCCTATCCGAAGTCACCTAAATCTTTTTGGCACAAAGTCCCATAAACATTTGACACAGTCAGATTTTCTCCTCCTGAAGCTGCAGAGGTGGCTAGTGGGATTGTCCAAGCTCCTTGGGGAAAATAATCTATCGGTTCAGTGTGGTTTTAAAAATCCTTTTATCATAGATAAGTGACAGCCCATACTGTTATGTGCCCCTACTTTATTAGCATCAGAGAGCATGGACAAAATAATGTGACTTGACTTCTCTAAACTGTTCATTAATGTATCTACCTCTATTGTATCCCCGCTTCCGGCTACACTGAATAATTAACATATAAAGTCTGGTGATAAGTGAACTTTACGATCGCAACTAGAGGAACGAAGCCTCAGAAGTGAACATTATAAGAGCCTTGTGCCTATAAACATCCCACTTCTGGTAAGCTACCCAACCAATTAATTACATGCAGAAACCCAGGCTGAGCATTCACTGCCCACATTAGCTCCCTGCTTAAAAAATAAACCTCCAGGGTTGTCAGAAGAAAACTAAATCAGAGACGGTGCGTGTGGGAGAAAAACACACACAGACTAAAATAGTACGTGTGACCTATTTTTTTTATAGCTAGATTTTTTTTTTTTTTCCATCCACACCACTGTGGTAAAATGAATGAAGTCAAAGGAAATCTCCCCTGGACACAGGAGAAGCAGAAAGCAAACAATGCTCAGGCTGTGAGGCCTTTTAAAACTCAAAACTCAACCACATTTCTCAAGCCCTCACTATTTTCGACAACCCCTGAGATCACAACAGACGGCCTCTTGCCACATCTTGCACACTGCAAAGACCCCTGCTATCTCTGTGGCCTGGCACAAATCATCACCCCTAAAGGGGTGACTTATATTTGCAAAAAATACAACGCAACCTGTGATTGCTCAAGGGACTAACAAAACCTGTGTGCTTTACATAGGCAGTTTCCTAATAAATTGAGGGGAGAATCGTGCTCAGTTCTCATGGAGCCATGCTGGGTGGCTTCTTTAGACAGGTGGCTACCGCATAAGGGTGGTCCGGCCAGGCGTCGCTACAGTTTCCCTGACCATCCCGATTCATCACTCCGCCCCGCTGCCTCGGCAGAGAATCAAAGGAGCATGTCTTCTCTGGTGGGCAGCATGCAAATGGCAGCCAGGCCCATGCTGTTTTCTTTGGAAACAGCCTCAGTCCAGGAGTTGGAAACTTCTGCCCAATAATTCGGCGGTACCACAAGTTAGGACATGCAATGGGCATGTCACGGAGGCCTTGCCCGTACACGAAGCGACAACCCAGACGTGGTCCTATGACTGTCATGGTGTGCATGGGCAGTGGTATTCAGATGTGTCGGTTTCCAAGGGGCTGCCCCAGTGCTTGTTTGCCCTCCATGCCCCCAACCACCACCATAATATGCTACTGGGTGAGGAGCTGCACCTCCTGCAGCAAAACTCCCATCTGCTCCAGTCTGCTCAATCCCTGCCTGCAATAGCCTCCTAGCACAGAGCAGCCTGGCTCCTATGTCTGTGCTGGGCTGCACCTGCTGTAACAAAGACTCCCGCAGGGAAGTCATTCGGGTGCCCCCTGCAACAGCGGGGGGAGCACTAGGTTTGTTCCTGAGCTGCAGCAGCAGCTGCCACCAGTGTGGCAAGAGCTGGGGCAGGCAACCTCCAGCGGTTGCGATGCACCCAGGGCACTGCAGAAGATTGCTATGCCTCTGGGTGAAACAGCCTCAGTTACAGCAGGATGAGTGGGTATAATACAGCATGTAGCATAGATGGCTGCAGTGTAGCTCACCACACAGCAATCCAGGCATATACCCAATCCCCAAAGCCTGTATCAGTCAGGGAGGTGATGCAGCTACCCCTACCAAAAGGTCCTCTCAGCAGATGCTGAGGGCTTTGCCAACATGACTATGCCAGCAAAGAGAACTGGGGTATCATTACATATCACAGTGACCTGCAGTACTGCTCTGGGCCTTGCTCTTAGACATTCGCAGCACTGCACCCTACCAGGCCAGGCACCAGAGTTGTTCCTGCACTGGGAAAACATCCTGGTTTGGCAACAGGTACCAATGAGCAAGGGTGGCCACTCAACTGATGCTGAACACAGTTGAACAGTGTGAGTAGCCCAAGATGACACCCTGTGCTTATCCATGTTCAGGGATGGGTCAGAAGCAGGAATTAAAAAGGGTAAAGTTTAGAGTGTGACAAAACAGAGAGCTCTTCCTATGCTGTCCCCTCATCAGATATGCTTGGTAAGATGATTAAAGTCACCCAAGTGGGACCAAAGTGTTGGAAAACAGAAGCTTACTGGAGAGAAGGAGAAGTACATTGCAGCAGCCTAGACATAAAAACCTGAGCGTTTTCACCATTACCCTCATTCCTCGGCTGTAGTTGATGAGTTTCAGAATCCGGAGCACCTGGAAACCTTTGAGCGTGCTCCAGGTCCAGTAGTATTTGGTGTTATTTTTGTTGATGGTATACGGGAGGTAAGCAAAGAGGAGAATGACAGCATTGAGTATGTTGTAGCCACTCCTCCAGAAATTCAAGGGGTCCACATAAAACAGGATCAAAAACTCTGTGGTATAGATGGCCAGAATGATCACGTCTGCCAGCTGAAAAGGAAACAGTACACATTCAGAGTATGTCTTTGCTTGGCTTTTGGGAAGGCTGGCCCCTGTATCTCTTGTGTAAGAATCACCTAAGGTGTGATGCTCTTCTCAGGAATGTAAATAATATCTGGTCACTTCAGACCAGATCCCCATTAACCTTGCAGACACCTAAGTAAATGTGAGGTGCATCTTCTGGGGCTCTGTGTTGCACTCAAGGCTGCTCGTGAAAAATAAGCCTTACCAATGCATGCCCATTCTGCGTGCCTCAAGCCCGGAAATATAGGGTAGGGTCAGCCACCCAACCCTGGGGCTTGCTGTAGGGTCAGCCACCCAACTTCTGCTCTCATCTCACAATGAATGTCCTGGATCCTCACCCCCTGCTCAATTCTGGGTGGTCTCCTCATTTGTTGCATAGAAAGCCTGGGTGGCTAAATGTTAGGCATTGCAACACCTAAATGGAGGTACCTACAAAGTAAAGTTGGAATTGGCCCTTAGTCCTTCCTGCCACTGAGCAAATGGCCATGAGGAGTTGTCCTGTAACATTGGCAGGGCAGGGTGGCGCTTACAGACAGCCTGGTTCATAAGCAAAAGCCTCTCTGAATCAGTGAGTCCCTAAGGTGCCATCTTGCCCACCTTCTGCCTGACTTCAGACTAATGCTGGTAAGTACCGCTGTGCTTTGTAGCATTGTGACGTTCATTCAAATCTGAAAGCTTGTCATCATGGAAATGGCGGGGGAGCATAGTCCCTTAATCCCATCCCAAAAGACTTTGTTACACATTGCCAGAGACCACCCTAAATCATTCTTTACACTATGTGCCCCACTAGATAATGGTTCCCATGACTAACACTTCCACCTTTCCAGGACAATAAGGAAATGCACATTTGCCACAGTTACAATTACCACTGCAACTGGAGCGAGCAGCAAATGCTAAAGCCCAGTAAATATTTCTGTAGCCCTGGTTCTGTAGCCCATGAAGATCTCCCCATTCTCACAAGTGGGGACATGTAACCACCCTTATATTCACCAGTTCCTTACCTCCAAAAACGTATGAGATTGAAACCTAATATTATAATCAGTCTCCATAGTTATGAACAGTGCATTGACCAAGACGGTGCTAATCATGATGACTCTCAGCATGGGATTCTGCAGCAATTTGGATAAATATGCACAAAATTCTGCATCTTGTCTCCTACCAAAAAAGAGGCAATAAAAGACAATAGAAATGTCAATGATTTCTAGGCCCATCAGGAGTTTAGCAAGCGGTGGGGCAGTTCTGCCTTCAGAAGAACAGGACCAGCACCTGGTGGATTCGGCCACCTTTCAATGTCCCGTCATTGACTGGAATGAGCAAATCCTGCATTCTGAATAGGACACGGCAAAACTCTGCAGATTGGGTAAAAATGAGCCCAAATGGTGCATCTGATTCAAACACTCCTACACAGGGGAAGAGCTAAATGTTGCTGCTCAGGACCACATCTCAGTCTTTTCATGACAATAGGGGTAACTTTTATGTAATGAAATCGTGCAACCACTGGTGTCTATATAGCCATTTCCATGTATTTTATTAAGGACTTTCCATAAGCTAGTTTTAAAACATGCAATTAAAGTAAGAAACCTCTGTTTTTTCAAGGGGTTGGCTCTCACTGAAAGTGTCTGAAACTGGGGTTGCCTGAACTGAAATACTACATCATTTGGGACAAGGAAGAAATCAGAGAAGAGGAGGCAGAACAGAAGTAGAGGAAAAAGGCCTGGCCACACTTGTTTCACTGAACTAACAGAAAGGACTGATGGGAGGGGCAGAGAGTTTCAGATAGTTACTGAAGTAATACGTTTTCATGGGTTTCTGCATGAAGAAAGAGAGTTCTGTAAAGATTTCTTTTGTGGGAAGCTGATATACGCTGTTTAAGGGTTTAATGGGCACAGTATGTTTTTGGGTACATAGTTGTTTTTGCAATATGAAAGTCTGGTAAATCAAGGATGCTCAATATGTGAAGCTTTGTAAGTGTGGGTAGGATAAGCATGTGTTTTAAAAACATTTGTAAAAGGTTCCCATCAACATTTCTGGCACCACGGGAGGGTGTTGGAGCTTGCTCCAACCTCTCCCAGTGCCGGCCTGGTATTGCAGTACAGTGCTTGCTCACTCCTGCGGGAAAAGCAGCCTGTTTTTTTTAAGGGCCACACAAAAAAAGAAAGAACAAAGTTCCCATCAGTATGTTTGCCCCATATGTGCCATGTACTTTATAGCCATGTTCAGTATTGGCTACATTTAATGAACTTTCTAGTTGGTTTCCATTACTAAGCACATACTGCTTTTAGCAGCAGTTCAAAGACAGACAATGTATTTAATGAGGTTTCCAAGTATGCAAATTTAAAGTGAGAAGTTCCCCCTCCCCCATGTCGACTGGGGGGGAAAACCTCATACTGTATTTTAGTAAATACAGTAGTACATTATTGCAGGTTTGGTTTTGTCTTTAAATTCCAATAAGTTCATTGAGTCCAATCCAAATCCCATTGAATTCTATGGAGGGAAACTCAACAACTCCAGTGATCCCTGGATCGGGTCCATTTTAAGTAGATTAAATAGTTCAAGGATGGATATACAACTCAAACCAGATACGAGTATTTGACTGATTCCAGTCAAACAGGAGAAGCCAAATAACTTTCAAAGAGGAATGCCCTCAGAGAAAGAAACCAATATTTTTATTTTACAGTTGTCCCCATTAGTACTTGCACTGTCCTAAGCACTGAGTTGAGGAAATCATTGGAAAGGCAAATAAGGCAAAAAGCATCCAGTACTTCATTTAAATGCATATTCAAGGACAGTTTATCTTGTTAAAATTTTGCAGCAGTCATCATTGGAAGTGATCTAAACATACAGTATAAAAATCCTCACCCTTCAATTTAAAACAAACATTGACCACATTCATTGCTCCAGTGACATCAGCATTACCTACAAGATAAATGTGGCTGCCTTAATTAAAACTTAAATCATCCATTACTGATACTGGCACTTACTTAAATAGTGCAAACAGCGAGTGTTTCACTTTGACCTCAGATGTGGACTTAAAAGTTTCAACAGGCAACCTGAGGGCAAGTCCCCTCTTATGAAACGATTCTGTAATCTCCATGGTCAGACTTGTAGATTTTTGTTTTCTCAAGTTAAGCCGCCTAGGTGGTCGTCCAGTTTCCTCTTAAGCAACTTCGAGAACCTGAGATGGAGGAAGTGGAAAGGGAACGCTCGGTTGATTGGAATGGCAAGGACTGCTTTATTGTGACATCACCACTTCGGAGGACACAGCCAGGTGTGGATGCGGTACCCATAAGCAGCTGGGACAAAGCGCTTGACAAGGAAAAGGCCATTAAGAAAACAGACATTACAGCTAGGTAGCAATCATCATTTATTATTCACCAAATATACTGAACTGGATTAACATTGCCAAGTGGCCTAGGTACAAAATGTGGCTTTTGTTGAAAGGTATATACAAACCTAAACATTAATAGAAATGTTTTTCAGCCAGCAAAATGCTCTTGTTTGAATTTAAAGAGATTTACCCAAGGGCAAGTTAAGCCAGAGGCATCGCAGTTTTGTGCCTCGGGTCCGGTCTCTTAAGGTCATGTCATTTTTTAAGGAAGACTGAAATTTTGGTGTAATAAAGAAAAAAAGCGCATAACCCCATGGGCATAGCAAAAAGTGAGCCCAGTGACCCTGCAGGCAACCTGAAATAATCACTCTCTGAGATATAAACTTGCCCAGGCATCTTAATAGGGTGTTAGCTCCAAAGACCTGCTGCATGGCGAGACCGAATCGATACCTCCCCCAACACAGAACTGTTCAACATGAGGCAGGGGTTAAAAAGGGCATTGACGGTCCATATACCCAAGCAGAGGTAAGTCAAGTTGAAGGATGTACCCTGGCATGCCTGTTGCCGCCTGTTACTCTCTAGGAGAGAAGGGCACGTCTGCAGCCATCCCCGAGAGGAGGCCCCCCTTCTTACCTAGGCAATCACCCTGCCCACAACCACATCAATGCTATTGGATAGAGCCATGTGTTGTGATGTGCACAGGCCCCTGAACCATTTTTCCCTATGGCTCCACCATACCATGGAAAACCAGAAGGCAGAAGTGACCAGAAGCACATGGGCTGTTACCTAATCCAGTTTCACTGACCCAGTCGAGAGGAAAAAGGCAAACCCCCAGCAGAAAGAGAGGAAAGCAGACAGTAACCCTTAATCATGTCAAATAACATGAGCAATGCAGACCAGACACTTTGCTCTTCATTCTGCTGTCACATATTATTTTCATCCTGACCATATGCCTTTCAAAGTCACAAGCGTTTGTAGGGGGCAGTGAAATTACATTCATTTTTACTGTTTATATTTTGTGGTGTGCCATGAAAGCAGAAGAAAGGCAAATATACTGCTGGACCCCTCCCAGGTCCTCTCTACAAGCCACAGAGCAACAAGTTTTGTCGAAACATTCATTATTGAGAAATGAGGAAAACCTCTTTGTATATGCAAAAAGATATGTGTGTGTTGCCGGGGGGGGTGTTAGTAGGACAGCAAAGCGCGTACCCAACGTCCAGTACAAGAGTGGTCCAACTCAAGCTGAACACCTTGCTGAATCCGACTGTGCAACGCTGAAGATGGCCAGAAACATTCTCCCATCTGCTCAGTTGGCTTCATTTTTCATCATCCTGTGTCTTCAAAAAGCAACCTTCATCTCTGCACACGGAAACTGCGCTAGACGAGAGCGCACTTGCATTTATACGTATTCGAGCTTTAAAGGCAGCTTCTTTATTCCTGCTCCTGGAAAAGGCAAAAAGGGCAGAACTAATAACTAGCAGTCTAGTGAACTCGAGGCAGCTCCCAGCAGATTTCACGTGCAAATCGCAGGGTGGGCAGCCATTTTTATGGGTGGAGTGTGACTGCCCCCGCCCCACACACACCTCTGATTGGCCAACAGGCCCCAGTAGCCCTGCTCCTCATTGCTGATTGGCTGCAAGGACCATCTGTCACATGGCCCCATGCCTTACCACCAATTGATGACGAGGAGGAAGGGCCATAAGATGGACAGCCGTTACAGCCAATTAGCAGTGGAGGGGGCAGCAGCCCCCCTCGTCTCTTCCCGCCCCACCACCCCCCTAGCGGGTTGCACAATCGAGCCACGAGGGCTGCTGGCTACCCAGAGGGAGCCAGCATTTTATTTTCAGTAAGTTTTGTTTTGTTTTTTTCTCCGGGAGCCCGCCCGCCCAAAGCACGGCGCCCACACTTTTTCACAGAACATGCCTGAAATCACGGTTTCTGCAAAAATCACAAAAACATGATTTCAGTAGGTCCCTACTAATGACAATGCATTTCTGCTGCTGTTACTGCAATACAGCACGTGCCCTGTTATCACGCAATCTCATGATCTTCACAGACACTACAGCTTTTCAGCAGATTTAGCCCTTATCAAATAACTGCGGGCAGGCATTATGGGGTTGCTGCCAAGTTTCATTTAGAAACTAACTTTATCACTATTCAAATCCTATAAATTAAAGGGCCCAATTCTGCAGGGTATTTCCTCTTAGTAGCACTGATTAGAAGCAAGGAATACATGTCAGGGGTATAAATGCAACTCAGTTACATTTATAGAAACAGTTACAACATTAGTCTTGTTTTGGTTTTTAACTTAGGGTTAAGTAATCAGCAATTAACTCAGTCAATATGTTGATACATACTAATTTGGACCCTCCATAAATATTTGTTCCAGGAGAAAGGTAGTTTTGGCTGCCTTTAAAATGCAGCTTAGAGTAAACCGCATATGTTTGTGTCCTAGAACAAACAACTGTGGCATGTTAAATCCAGCATGTACAAAGTGCTAACTAAATGGAGTCAGTTTGCAATCCTTTAGCTCAAGCTTAAAAATGACAGCACAGATGCATAAACTAAGCCAAGGCTGTGGAATTTTGAAAGAATCAAACTTTGAACCTAATTATGTTTGGTTTAATTAAAATTCGTGCTCTGGAAAGGCAAATTTTAACAGCAGAAAATGTTGGCAGGAGGAAATGAACAGGAAGATTACCCAACACAGATGCAAAGTTAGAGTACCTACATCTTAAATGGGAGTCTTAATTAAAAGGAATTATGTTTAGTCACCAAAATATGGAGGCTTTCTGAATATGACTGAATATAGAGGCAATGGAAACTTAAGACATCTTTATTCTATAGATTTTTCAAGTATTATGGAGGCTATTAGAGATGGTTTTGTTTGTAAAATTCCCTTTCCTAATTCAACCCTGCTTCATACAACAGATGGCTCCTCAGTTTAGCAGACAAACGTATAATGAGCCACAATTGCTCAACACTGAAGGGAAGACATAGGATGTATAGTTTTAGCAATGAGGCCTTTAAGTCCACTAGAACAACCTACATTGGGTTATAGCAGATTTTTAAGTTACTTGGGATCTTTAGCTGAAGCTTCTCCAGGACAGATACTTGATTCAATTAGAAATCATCACAGCATTCATTTTGCTATCAAGTCCAAGATGCCAAAATATCTGTATGGCATCATTAAGCATCTCATGACTTTTCCTCTTCAACTGACTGACAGACAAAATGCAACAGCCATCAGTGCATACACCCCAACCCTTGATACAATGCCCAAACAGAAAAAGGTTATTCTAAATTCAACCAGCTCTCGTCATCTCTCCCCAAGGAAGGTAAGATCATTCTTTCTGGTGATTTCAATGCTAGAGTAAGTAGAGACCCTGAGCTATGGAAAGAAAGACTTGGAAGGGATGGAGTGAGGAAAGGTGGAATTCTTCTCTGAAGCAAGACATTTATCATTGCATTAAAGCTGAAAACCAGAGGGTAATTTAAAAATGAAAGAACAAGGGGTGAGAGGACACACCACTGAAGAAACTATGCATGTTGTGGCTGTCTGAAAAATGTTGAATCTCTTTGTGCAAGAGAGATTCACATTTTTGCAGACAGCCACGGCATGCATAGTTTCTCCAGCACAACCACAGCTATCTATGGGCCACCACACAAGGAGCCACGCTCTGAGGTCCAAGAATGGAACAGCATTCTTTAAAAGCAGCTCCACCATCAACATACTGTGAAAGCAGCACTTTCAAGAGCTCCTGACCCAAAATTTTAATCGATTCAAAGACAATACCATCAATGTTGTTCCACAACACTCCTTTATGGACTACCTTGCAGACCTGCAAACTTACCAAGATGCCTGAAAGCCTTGAAAGCCATTAAGCAGATGAAGAACAACAAACACATGGAATACCAGCTGAAATTTATAAGCAAGTTAAAAAAAAAAAAAAAAGCTCTCTTACCAACTACACATCATTATTATGAAAATTTGGAAACATGAGCAGATTCCCAGTGATCTGAAAGATGCCAGAATAATTACTGTATTCAAGTAAGGAGGAAGATCAAATTGCAGCAGTAATTATGATATTGCATCCTGCCCATAGCTGGGAGGAGCCTCACCTGTATTCTCCTCAGTAAACTCACTTTCCTTGCTTAGAAGATACTACCAAATACCAATATGGTTTCAGTCCATTCAAAGGTACAATACATACAATATTTGCTAATAGACAGCTACAAAATGAGTGTTGCAAGTGACACTAAGATCTTTATATGGCTTTCATTGACAATGGCCTTTGATTCAATCAACAGAGAGGCCCTATGGAAGATCCTGATGAAATTTGGATGCCCGCCAAAATTTGTCCCATCATCAGTCTTCTTCACAGGGACAAGACAACCATCCTAAGCAGTGGCTTAGAAACAGACCCTTTTGCCATTGAAATTGAAGTCAAACAAGAATGGGCAACTGTACCAATACTCTTTTCCATCTATATCACAGCTATTCCACATTTCATTGCTGACAGATTTCCATCTGGAGTCACATCCAGTATTGCATGGACAGGAATCTCTAATATCAACCAGTTATGTTTCAAATCCAAGATAACCAACACCTCCGTTACTTATTTTCAATACACTAATGACTGTGTCATATGTTCCCACTCAGCTGAAGAGTTCCAGGTATTTCTTGATTTATATAAAATGCTTGGACTCTCTGCCAACTTCACAACAAAAGATAGTTTACTAACCCACTCCAAACCAACTAGTTGCCCCTCCTCATATTACAATTAGAGGGCAATCCTTGGAGGATGTTGAGCATTTCCCCTACGTGAGTAGCCACCTTTCCCCAAAAAGTAAAGAGACTACACTCAAAGGAATCATAGAGAAGGCTGGAAAGGACTTCTATAGGTCATCTAGTTCAGCTTCCTGCCTGAGACAGGTTCATCCCTAACCAAACCATCCTATACAAATCCATAATCTCTAACCTCTTAGTAAAAGTACCATCAGCCCTGACACACCACAAGACATAACCCTGGATAAAATCTATGAGTGCTGCCTTTGGACTTCTCTAAAATTGTGGCTTTGATGATCATAACATCAGGACCCAAATCAAGCATATCATCCCTAGCTTATGTGGGCATGAAACATGGAAGACAGATGTGAAAGCTTTGGAACATTACCATCAGCAATATCTTTGGAAAATCCTCCATTGGACGGACAGAAGAATGAATGCCAGTGTTCTGGCTCAAGCAAACACCAACAGCATTGAAGCCATGTTTATAGGGTACCAGCTCTATTGGACAGGACATGTCATAAGGTTTCCAGCTCCCAAGACTATACTCCTACTTCACCAATGGTCACCTCTCTAGAGGTGGGCAAAAGAAGAGATTCAAGAACACCCTGAAGGCCAATCTGAAAAAACGTGATATTAATATCAATACATGGAAAACTCAAGCACTGAATCATCCCCAATGGCATGATGTACAACAAAGCATCAATCACTTCATGCACACTCACCTCATTATGGAAGCAGATAGAGGAGACACAAAGGGAAAG